TAGCTGTTAGGGTTAACCGTCTTAGCCTTAACACATATCATCTCCAACGCCGCACATGTGAGGAGTGGAGTTATTCTGGGTAGCATACGTAGACCGCTCTTATTTTGCCTTTTTGTCAACGATGTTCCTGATTGTTCCAGTATGGTAGACCTTTTAGATATGCTGACGATTTAGAAGCCGCCTATCGATTTAAAGTGGCAGATCGCAACATCGTGCTCGAGCTCATAAAAAGGATCTTCAGGCCTTTGCCCAGTGGTGCTGCACGTTGCGCCTCAAACATTCATGACACAGATGTTCTGTTATGGTTGTTGCCCACGATTATCAGCCTGAAGTAAGCATAGACGGTCACGAACTAAATGTGCCAGGAGTTATTAAGGATCTGGGGATACTCTATTCTAATAGTCCCAATCTGTCTGAGTGCTGTGCCCTGACACACTTGAGAGCACGCTGAACTACTTGATTTATTCTCGGAAATTTTAAGACCATATAGGTTGGAACTAGCATCTATATTGTGTACGTGAGACCTAGTCTTGAATACTGCTCGCCCCTATTCAGTCTTCTGCACACTAGTGAACGGAAGGAATAGAATTCGTCCAACACTCCTTCACTAAAACAGTTTTCCCTTTAGAACACCGTAACTTAGCCTACTGACAATGGTGTGAACTTATAAAACTCCATCCTCCGTGGGTTTGTAGATTGCATAAGGGTCTATTTTTATTTTTTAAACTTTTGAATGCAGGATAATATGTGTAATATTTACCTGCTTGGTTTGTCACAATTGACCCTGCCCTTATTACACAACACTCATAGGTTGAACAATGTCAATTGTTTTTATAGAACTAGTTTCAGACGGTTAATTGAATAGGTATGCATCAAACGCTTTGCATGTATGTAGCATTTTGAGGTGCCCGTACAAAGAATATATAGTTTTAATGCGCTTGCCACAATAAACGATTTCAAAAAACAGTTGATCTTTTGTGTATGCGTAGATATTGCTTAAGATGGGATTGCGTTAATGTGTTCTGTCTATCGGCTCTTAATCTTGTGCTTTTTATTTTTCATATTATTTCTGACATAAAAATATTTAAATTACATTTTAGCTTATTCGTGTTAGTGCCATTGTTCAGTCGATATAACATAATCCATTTTTTGTCACGTTTATACGCTTGACGAATGCTAGAAAAGTTTTCATGCCATCATTTAACTTCGTTTACTCTTGTTACGACAAGTTTATGCGGATAACCTACCTCGTAATTAAAATTTACGCTGTCTTGATCTTCTTTATGACGCATAAGCAAGATCGTTTATCCTTGTGAACCGGGTCCGGTAGCTCGAGCTATCGTAGCAATAATAATAATAAGGTTAATTGGTAAGGTGCCTCTTGGGCACCGTCAAAACCCTTGGAAAACAGGAATACCAGCTTCATTTTTACCCATTAACATCATAAAATAGTAACTTATAAATGAATGTTTAGTTGAATCGTAAGGGTGTTGAGATAGTGTTGCTGTTAACCGCTTCGTTTCACAAAAGATATTTCCCAACCTAGTGGCCGGATTCGTTCAGGTAATTCTAGTATTCATTCATTAGCAGCCGAAAACCTGACAGTGATCTTAAGAAATCAATCTTTTTCGAAGTATATTCTCAGATTACCGGGAAATAGTTTTTGTCTTGACTCTACTGGACAGCCGGACACATGTTTCTCAAAACCATTATGCCTGAGAACTCTGATTGTCATTTGCCATCCCTTTCAACATATAATTTCCATTGCTTTCCTAGACCTCATATTCGATTATTGTGGTTCACATAGAATTTGACTCTATTGGCGTATATGTCCCGCTCTATGTTTTCCTGCCAAAAGTTTCCAATGTTTGGAATTTGTCCTGCTTTCAAAAAGGAATTTACGCATGATAATGGTCTTCTGTAGGATGCTTCTTGCGCTCTCTTTCTAACTCGCAAGCAGCATGTAAGGCAAATACAACTCGATATTCTATTTCCCCTTCTCGTTGGACCGATATAGTTCTATATTTCTTTCCACATCTAAAATGATGTCTCATATGACCGCACTAACTCAAGCCCGTTTAATACAAGGCTTCGTTCTCCCCCCGCTTGTATCGTCCTCGAACGTTTAACTGATTCTAATAGCGTCCTTTCATGACATGCTCTATGATGTTACTTTCTAGGGTCTCTCCTTTTACTCAGTGATGAATGAATCCTGGAACGAGTTTTATCACACAAACTAATGGCTGTGGATATCGGCGAAAGTGATGCTACATGGAACAGCTTTATACAGTCGCTTGATGTGGGACCAGAAAAGGCCCAGGGGATCAATCAGCTGCCAGAGGATCAGAAGCGACAACTTCTCCAGTCTTATGTAGGATTATCTCTTCCTATTTAACCCTCCTCTTTAATTAAGACTTTGAGTTCATCCAAATGCTCAGCCTTTCATTCCGTGACACTGATAAAAGGCCTGCGAAGTGGCCGCATTTCTCTGTCAAAGTCCCGTAAGGGCATCGTCCAGACTGCAAAGCGCGTCCTCTCCGAAACCGAGATTTCCCTTCGGACAAACAATGTCTCGTAGGAATTTCGTTTTCTTTTTCTTTCTTATATCCCCTATTCAATGCATTTTAGTTGGGTATACGAATTTCTTGACAGTGGAGGTCTTGATGCACTGCAGGAATATTTGTCCAAATCCATCCACGTCCTCTTAAGGTAAGTTGCAGTCTCATTCTGCTTCGCTTCTTAATCTATGCTTATGCCACTTTTGGCAGTAGGAACCTATCGTCTTCCCGTCTGCCATCGAGCTTAGTGACTTCATAAGCAAACTGCCTTCCCATACCCATACAGTTAGTCTTTTCTGCATTTGCCTAGGGATGAGAATACGCTTCCTCCTACAACCTGTCGCCGGCGAAACTGCTCTCATGGTCTCGTCTATTCGGCGGACAATTCTCCGCCCTACTTTAGCGATGGCAACGAAAGCGTTTCACGGCATTTCCTCTGCCAGGGCCGAAAACGTCACGGCCGGTCCATGGCAAGGAAGCAAGTGCCTGCCGGTTTCGCCGACTCCGTCTTGGACGGTATTCATCAGGGCATGAAATGCTATCGTGCTCTCCTCAATAATCAGGTAATAAAATGCATCTCATATGTTGTCCTTTGCGCAAACTGAACCCATACTATATAACCAAATC